CTCTCTGCCCTCCCCCCCAAGTCTGTGGTCAGACTCCCTCTCTCCCTGTCTCCCCCTCCCTCTGCCCTCCCCCCCCAAGTCTGTGGTCAGTCGCCCCTCACTCCTCCCCCTCCACCATCCCTTTTAGGCGCTTCCCAGACTAAGGCTCAGACTACAAGGGAGGAGGGCGGGTACCTGCTGTATAAATTGTCCCAGATGTTCTGAGGAAGCATCACTACGAGGTCCTCGATGTAGCCGGCTTTGCGTGGGGGGACACCTGGAAGGAAGGGGGACAGAGAAGTCTCGGTTGCCAGAAGGCCTCCGCGGATGTCGGAGGGTCGTCCTGGTGGCCCCGGGAAGGAGGGGAGGGCCTCGACACACGGGGAGTGCCGGGCAACTGCTGGGCATTCTCCGAGGCCCCCAGAGAGCCTCGCCCCGACCTCTCACCTCCGTGAACGCAGAGGAAGTCGCGATTGGAGATGGGCCCGGGCTCCGCGAAGGTCTTGAACTTGTTCAGCCACTGGCGAGAGACGTAGAACTGCAGGAGACTGGGCTCCATCATGTTCAGCAAGTTGGACACGCGCCGCCGCTCCTTCTGCGCATCCTCACTGCTCTTCCTGCAAAAGACAGACGCGCTTCCTGAACCTAGGCAAGTCACTGAACTGTTGCCTCACTCAGTTTCCTCATCTGTAACAAGAGCATTGACCTCGCAGGGCTGTTCTGACATGCTTGGCAAACATTAAGTGTGTGGCAATGCACGCCAGGTACCCCTCCAAAAGTGTTCTTCTCCACCCACCCTGCCCTCTGCACCCATGGGCCCTCTGACCCTTTGGGTGGGCCCCCCAAAGAAACAAAAGGGAGAGGATCTCCGCTGAGAGAATTCCCAGCAGCCCTTGCCCATCCTCCAGGGACGTCAGACGTGGTGGAACGCGAGTGCGGCCTAAAGAGGCCGGAGAATGACCCTATGAGGAGCATCCAGGATGCCCATGGCCCTCTAGCCAACCCGTGTGGGTTCGGGGGTTGGGGGTGTGGGAGAGGATGGGCATGTGACCTGCCCGTCAAGTTCAGGAAAAACATGTCTTCTTAAATGCAAACATGCACGCTCATGTAACGCGGGTGTGCACATGCATGCAACATACATGTACTTCACAGCACACGTGTGCCTGCACAACCATAGACATGTATGTGTGCACATATGCATGTGTACACACATATCCCTTAGCTTTTGCGCTTCTCCCCATCCTGGGGGGGAGACAGAGGCCACTTGTATCACGCTTCAGCAGCCCCAACTCGATGCCAGGCTGTGGGGGAGGCCTGTCCCACCAGGGGTACCTATGGGCCCATGCAGCCTCTCACACCAGCAGCCCGAGGCCATCGTGTCCTTGGGCCGACTGTCCCCTTTCACCATTGAAGGGCCTTTGGTGACATATGAGACCCACATCTCACGAGTAAAACAGACCGAGAGTGGGAGGGGACCACTGAATGGTGAGGGAAAGGCAGGTGGTAGAGCCAGGAATCAGAAGTTCTGAGTTCGAACCCAGCCTCAGACACTGACCCTGCCTGCCTCAGTTTCCTCCTCTGTAAAATGGGGGGTTGTGCCAGCACCTCCCTCCTAAGGGGGCCATGAGGCTGCAAAGCACTTAGCTCGGGGCCTGGCACACAGCAGGCACTTAATAAATGCTCGAGGCAGTGCACTTTCTCCTTCATTCTTAGCCAGCTTCTCCCTCCCGTGGGTAACAGTCATGACAGTGTGCCTGTAATCCAGGCCTGGGTGGTCTCCCTCAGCTGTGGCCCTCTCCTCAGAGCGTGCTCTGGCTCACCCACCGTGAGGACACGGACCCAACAAAGGAGAGCTGCTGGCTCGGCCCACGCCAGCCAAGGCCTCTTCCAGTCTCCCGAGCCCCTGCTCCGCCCCCCCAACGCAGTAAGGAGCCCAGCCCAAACGAGGCTCTTGATGGCCAGGGTGACTGGTGGCCATGCAGCCAGGGTGGGGTCAGTGTGGGTGAGTCTCTCTCCTGGGAGGCAGCCGCCATCCACGCACCACGGCTGCATAGCCCCCCGGAGGAGGTTTCTCAGGGGAAGGTAGGCACGTCAGGGACCCCTCCCGAGGGCGCCGCCTTCTTACCTGTAGAAAAGCACGTAAGCCTCTGCGTTCTGCACAGCCGCTGCCGAGACTTCGGTGACGCTCTGATCGTCGAACTCGTACCACAGGGCGTTGAGATTGTTGCGGCAATAGGCGATGTAGTGTCCACCTGACAGGGTCGTGGGAGAAGCAGGTTAGCGTGCACAAGCGGAAGAGAGAGCAGGGGCACGTGTGGACATACTCCTCCCCCATGACCCCGCTCTGTCATGCGTCTGCCCTGGAAAAACTACATAAAGAACTGCTTCTGGTTCACGAGGCTCTGAAAGTCCAGAGCGGGCTGCCCGGTGGTCCCTCAGACCAGAGCTGCTGGTCCAGCCGGACAGATAACCGAGGCTGGCGAACGGGCGGTGGTGCCTGCTCCCTGCCTGGTGTTCGCTTGGTGCCCAGTGCCAGAATGACCCATGGTGGGTGGGGGCAGTCACAGGGCACGGGGGCTCCCTCTCACGGAGGGCCGCCAAACACCTGCTGACACTGGGCACGGACACGGGGCATCGGGCGCTCCGCCGGTCTGAGCTCCCCTCCGGCGCTCTGGTTGGAAAGACGTTGGCAGCCACTCGGCACTCCAGTCGCTCACCTCCAGCTGGGGGTCACTCTCTCTTCCCCCACCCCCTACCCCTTCTCCCTGAGGCTGAAGAAGCCACAGGCCACCGCCTCCAGGTCTATGTGTGAACACAGAACAGCACGGGGTGCGCGGGGCGCAGGAGCACCTCAGTTTATCTGTGGGCAAAGGGACAAAGGCGGAGCCATGTGTAAGATGTTGTCCACCACGACCCTGATTTCCAGATTTCCATCTGTAGGATGACCATTCCGAATGTCTCTGTACGCTGGGAGGGAGCGTGGCGGTTCTGACCCCTTGTCATTGCTCCTGCTTCTGGCTTCTCCCGCGGCCTCTCCCCTCTGCTCGCAGGGCCCAACGCCTCCCGAGGCTCTGGCCGCTGCCCCGCACTGGATACCTTTGGGTGCCCTCCTTCCCTTTCCAGGACTGCCTTGCTCTTCCTGATGCGTCCCAGGCGTTCAGGGCAGGGTCGCGACTCCCTTGACCATGCCCGTGTGTTGGGTCTCCCTTCGTGGTGGGGAGAAGGAGCTCCAGGGCCGAGTGTCCCCGACAGACCTGGAATGGAGCAGGTCCAGGCCCAGGTCGTGACCCCGGCCCTCTCTATCAGCAGACAAGAAGGGTTTCAGAAGCGCTGGAGACAGGGCTGGTTAGGAGCGGGGGACTCGGGTCACCCTGCAGGACCTGGGCACACGGTCTCAGGGAAGGCCGCATGGGCATTGTCTGTGCTTCTAGAGACCGCTCAATGGAAAGGGCTTCCTTCACCCAAAATGAGCAAATTCAGCAGGGGCCCTGATGATTTCTCTCAGGTCCTTCTTTCATTGCTGACGGTTCCTGGTTAACATTGCTAAAACGGCAGTGTCCGCATGCAGTCACGGCTTTGTTTCTGGTTCCTTGTGAACAAATGCGCCACAGCACACTGTGCGATCCTTTTTAAAGCAGGCCTTCCCCCCTCCCCCGCCCCAGGGGTCGGAACACTGACAAACAAGAGCGAGAGGCTCACGGGAGCAGAGCCCGCTGGCTGCCATTCCACACCATGGGCCCGGCACGCGCTCACACACCACACGCAGTGAGGCTTTGATGACCAGATTCCTGCTGGCGCCCAAAGCCAGCCGCAAAGCTGATACTCACTGCTCGCGGTTCCATGGTGACAGATGACTGACAACAGGTCATAGGTCACGATCTGGGAGGGGCTGTCCTTGGCAAGGAAGGGCTGAAGATCGAGGCCCTCGAGAGGAAAAGACACGTGGGTGCTGATTTTGGTGGAAAACATGAGCTCGTGCCTGAACCTCTTCAGGTGGATGCACAAAATCTGCAAGGAAGAAGCCAAGCGCCACCACTTCACTGCGCGGTTCCAGACCGGCAGGCGCCCGCCGGGGGCGGGGGATGGGGTGGGGAGAATCTGCCAGGCGATCACAAGGGCCGCAGCTGGGCTGGCGGCCCCCCGGCGCTTCTCTCCCCGCCCCAGCCACTGCGTGAGGAAACAAGTCAGAAAGGCGTCACCCACCTCAGGAAACTTCTGCACCTTACAGAACTTCACGCCGTTCCTCAATCTGAGTAGAGAAGAGGAAAGCAGGTGAGGAAAGGCCCTGGCACGCAGGGAGGCCCAAGGTCCGCTGTTCAGGTCAGGGGAGGGGGTGGCCTGGAGCCCTGAGGGGGAGCTGCCTACAGCCATCAGCCCAGGGCTGGACTGGGGGCCTCCGCTAACAGGTGGGCTGCCCTCCCTCCCCGCCAGGCTCCTGGGGGCCCAGGGCCAAGAGCTCCTGCGGAGTCACTCAGACTTCTCCCTGGGGCCCCACACCTCCTGGCCCGGCCCACTCTGCCCATGAGCTCACACCAAAGCTCCTTGGTCTCCCAAAGACTTGGTGCCCACCCGCCTGCCCGCTCGCCTCAAAAGCTGGGGGCTGTTCTGAGGGCAGGAAAGGCTTCTTCCACTTACTTTCTGCATCTTTCACAACTGTACATGTTGTCACCTGTAGACAGAAAAAGCCTTGAACGCCACCGCAGAATCAAATCTATTCCTTTCGTAACACAGGGTAAATGACAAGTTAAGTCATTCCTACGTCTCCCATGCCCCTCTTAAGAGTGGGCGAAGCCTGTGCAGCCCCCGAGGCCAGACCGGGGAGGCTGCGTAGCCCAACGGCCCATCCCGCTCTGTGTGCCAGGAAGGGCCAAAGCCTGCTCTTTGCCTGGGGGTCTGGGGGGCTCCTGGGCTGGACAGTCAGGACCCCTACTATCTAAATGCCTAGAAACACATCGCTGTGCTGGCCGCAGTTACTGGGGACAGAGACAGGCGCACAAAGCTCAAATCAGAGGGGTGGGCCACGGAAAGGGACGGCTGACCCACGTCAGAAGGAACGATGAACGTTTTAGTGCTAAGGCTGAGATCTGAGAAATGTTCACATCTTCCTTAAAAAAGAGGCCGCTTCATTTTTCCAAATTTCAGCGAAGCCCTTTGGGTTTAAGTAACCCAGAGCCACAGAAAAGTACTCCAGCCTCTGCCAGGGCAGGAGCAGCACAGACAGCCCGAGGCTCGGTCAGGCTGGGGCCCCTCCAGGAGTGACTCCAGATGGCCTCTTTGATCTAAGTCAGTAAAGCAACCAATGCAAGCCCAAGAAGAGACGTCTCTGTGTCACCCCGGCCTAAAAGCCTGGCCATCCGAGGAAGGGATTCATCCGCCCCCGGACCAAAGTGCCCACGCCGACTTCCAACTTCCCCATCACGCGCGGGGTGGGTGTCACCTTACCTTTGAGCTCATCTCTGGCGAAAAAGGCGGCGAGACAATCTTGCAAGGTCACTACTGGACCCCAAAACCAGCTAGGGACACAGGAGACAACAAACCTGGAAAGTCATTACAGAAAAAGAAGGGCCGGTCAGTGTGGTGCTGGTCACGCAGAAGCAACGGGGGCCCCGAACAAAGTCTGCGGCCGGTGAGGGCGAGCGTACCTGCGCAAGTACTCCATGAGCAGGGCAATCCAGCCTTGGGGCGCATACGCCTCCCCGCAGGATCCCGCTTTGACCATGGCGGTTGGGTGGCTCGCCGAGTGCAGCCGTGCGAGGTCCTCTTTGCCGGGGATGGGCAGGGACAGGTCCTGGAAGGTCTCCAGGGTCACCGACACCTGCAGCGGCAGAACACGGCCCAGGATCCCACCAGCTTCCTTCGCCAACGAGCTCGGCTGGGGCAAGCCAGCAGGGAGGGCCAATGGACTTTCTTTGCCCGGAGCCGCGTTTCCTGGACGCGGGAAGCTGCAGTTCTGCCTGGCCTCTGAGAAGCCCGGTCAGCAAGAGGGGGCAGCTACCACGCCACACCCAGGCCGCCCCAGCCAAGGACAAGCGCTCCAAAGGCAGGCGGAGGATCTAGCACTGAGCAAGTGCCTGACTAACCCTGCATGGAGCCTAGTGACCAGGCCTGGGCTCGGGGTCGGCCGGTCTGAGTTCCAACAGTACCTCTGGCCAGGTCACCAACTCAGCCACGGAGGGTGCCAGTCTGGCTGGGTGCTGGGTGCTCCCGCCCTGGGACTTCTCTGCTGTGGAGGCGTGGGCGCCTGGGCACGTCCCCTTGCTGTCATTGCTGACTACGCAAGCTGAGAGGCTTCACACCCAAACAGCGCACACCTTCTGCGCCACAGACTGCGCATTCTTCCTTTCCTCCCCCAAAGGCCACCACGAAGGCTTTACGGCTCGCTGTCATCTGCCTGGCTTTGGCTAAGGGTCAGTGCCCATCCTGATGCCCTTTCTTTTAGCTATTGGGTCACTCCAAGAGCCACAGAAAAAGAGCAGCCGCCCCCTGTCTTTGGCCTAGGGGGCTTCATGAGCAGAGACAGGGCGTGCGCTACAAACACAAGTTTTTGTGGTTGTTGTGGCTTACCACGTGACTTTCCCTAATACCAAACAACCCTGAAGGATCAATCACAAATACATTTCTCATCTGCTGCCCTCTCATGTAACGCTTCTCCATCACGCTATTCCCTGCAGAGGGTCACAGTTCTCTTCCTCTACTTATCCTTACCTGGTTTAGAGACAAGGACTCAGTTTTCCAAAAAGAGACAGACAGAAGGTAATCTTTGTTTTTGAAGTTTGCCCAATACAGAGAGCATGTTTTCCATTTCTGGATTGGTTTGGAATTCACCTGAACACTCTGAGGCTGTGGAGAATCTAGGATTTTTCACCATTCCACTCAAGTCAGGTTTGTTTTAAAGATTCTGATTGCCATTTTTCTGCTTAAATCTTATTGCCATTAGGGTAACATTTATGTTTGGAAGTTGGTTGCTATGCCTTGGGGTGCACGCATGTGCACACGCATGCATATAGACACCCCCCCCCCCCCACTGTTAGTGGTCCCTTTGAGCACGATTAACTCCATGAACAGCCCTCAGCACTCTGTACTTGGGCTTGTAATTTGACTAACATTATGAAAACTTCCTAATTCGTAGACTCTGTGCAAGAACGGTAACTCCGAGCCATCTTTTCACTTTAAATTCTTATGTCTTAGTCTCACAAATGTTCCCTAAAGGACATGCTGTTGGATTGGTCCATTCAGCATCGCTCTCTCTGGGAGGGGAATTCAATGCACTTCTTCTCTGGGGGGAAGGTTTTCCTATAAAAATAAGAAGGGTTTCCTTGCTAGGTTTCCTAGGGGCTCATGCCTAGAGCTGAGAAACTCAGACAATTCTATACATATGCCTGGCTCCTCTTCCATTTCCCGACGTTACTGAGTGACCAGTCACAACAGTCAACAATATGGCGGATAGGAAAAGGGGCCTGCTGGCTGGGCGAGGAATGTCCCTGGGCTCAAAGTTTAGCTCCCTCCTCACTCTCTATGGGACTGTGGGAAAGGCACCAACCACCTCTCGGGGCTCAGGTGCCCTGTCTTTAAAAATAAGGGGGTGCAAACGTGCACAGAGCACTGGGCCCACAGTCAGGAAGACCTGGGTTCAAATCCAGCCTCAGACATTCACCAGCTTTGTGACCCTGGTCAAGCCATTTAGCCTGCCTCAGTTTCCTCATCTGTAAAATGGGGACAGTAACAGCTCCTACTCTTCCGAGGGTTGTTATGAGGCTCGAATGAAATAATAATTGTACAGGTTAGCACAGTACACAGTAGGCACTAGATAAATGTTGGTTGTTATCATTAGACTGGATGATTTTTAAGGACTTAAGCCAAGTGCAAAAATGAATCCAATTGCGAGGGAGTCAAGTACTACCAGCCTCGGCTCAGACAGGGAACTTACAAATTCATAAATTGCCCATTAAAATATGAATGTCTGACTTAAATGTAGCAACTGGTACCATCAGTAACCCATTATGAGCATCCTTCTCAGCAGAGCTAAACCCCAGACTCCTTTGGGGGAGCAGGAGGAAGGCTGCCCTGCGGGGGCCCGACCCCCCCCTTCTCACCACCCCCTGGCAGTGCCAGCCCTGGGCTCCTGGACGGCCCCATCCCATCAATGTTCCTGGAGGAAGGACCACCCGCAGCACTCACCCGGTCACAAGTCAGACACTGCACAGAGCTCACGATCGTCCCATCGAAGATATCCGAAATGACGCTCCGGTATCTCTTCTGCTGCTTTTTCCTCTTGGGAGATGGGGCTGGCAGGGCTGGGGGGCAGAGCGGAGCAGTGACCATTCAGGTCAGCACCTCGCACACAACCCACCTCAAACCAAGAGCCTCCCTTTTGTGAAAAGGCTGAATTATGGCCATGGGCACAGGGAAAGCACCATCCACGAGAGAGATGACAAACAGGCCACCAAAGGAGTGGAGACACAGGCTCCGACCCCAGCTCTGCCACCGGCTTGGTCATGAGGGGGCGCCACTGCACAGAGCACTGGGCCTGGCCTCCCCCACTCACTAGCTGTGAGACCCGGGGCAAGGCCTGAACCAGCTGCCTGCCTCAGTTTCCCCACCTGCAGAATGGGCTGACGACAGGGTGTCTCCGAGGATCAGGGTGCACCTCAGACACCTCCCTTCACTCTGCTCTCTGTGTCCAAGTCCCCTCATGGTGAGACAGTGTAGGCCCTGACAGGGGTTGGCCCAGACAGCCACTGAGGCCATCAGAGAGGTGGCAGGGGACATGCATTTAACCAGCACTTAGAATGTGCCAGGCGTGGACAAAGATGATCTCATGGGACGCTCATGCCACCTCCGTTTTACAGACAAGGGCACTGAGGCAGACAGAACGTAAGTGGCCTGCCTGGGGACATACAGCAGATGGGGTCTCCTCGGTGCCCCGTGGCGCTTCTAGCGGACAGCGTGACACGCTAAGTCACATTTCCATAGACCTTGAATAGGGTGACTTGGCCAATGGAATGTTTACCTCTTTTGTGGCCAGAGACTGCACCTGGCCACAGGGAGCTCGATTTGGGAGGGCTGGCGGACAAGCGTGGACTGCCTCCTTCATTCGATGGCAGATGGTCGATCATGTGACTATCGGGGGCATGTTCTGGAAACAGTAAATGTTGGTGTCAGAAGCGAATCTCCAGAACAGGAGGAAGGACTTTGGGGGTCGGTCCAGGGAAGAACCACAAGATGACAAAGAGGAAATCGTGAGAAAGCCCCTCAGGAAGCGCTCCGCTCTGAAGTTCAGGCAAACCTTGCAGAGGTCACTCACTAAGAGGGCTCAGGTCAGGCCTGGCCAATGAATGCCTCGCTGGGCCACGGGCCAGATGCATCCAAGACAGATACGACGGGGGGGAGGGAGGGAGAGAGGGAGAAGCCAGGCAGAAAAGGCTCTGAGGATAGCCCCAGCCAGGTCTGGGCGCCTGCCATCAGCACAGGTGTCCAGGCCTGTTCCCGGATGGAATCACACATGTCGTGAAGCATTCCAAGGCTGCTGGGAGAAGGGACGTGATATGAGTGGGTAGCTGAGGGGCCTGTATACCATGATCTTGTGCTGAGCCAAGCAGGCAACAGCACCCAAGGGGGCCAGAGGCTCACGGGGCACCACGGCACACCACGCCTAGGTGAGCGAGGCCTCGCAGCAACCCGTCATCCCCTTCTAGCAAGGAGCTGACCCACAAAAGCCCAGTCTCTGCTCAAAGCTACTCCAAGAGGAGTCACTGAGCCTAGATCCGGCCAGGGGGAAAGGCTGGAACCTTCTCCAGTGTCTGTCCGTGGGCCTCAGTGAGCATAAGGATGCGGATGGGCAAGCATATGCACAGCTGAAAGCTCATGGGGATTGCTGCGCCCAGGGACATGGGGGTCCCTGAATCTGCCTACGGACCTCAGATTTTTTGTAACCACACAATGGTTCCCCACTGAACATTCCACCCCTTCCCAATTCACTCAAAGCAGTACCTCTGTGCACGCATAAATCTCTGTCACCGTACCGTGCTATCCCTGCACCACCTCTTGCTCCAGCCACCAAGTCACTGCACCTCTCCTTTCATCCCTTCAGGCCTCTCACCTGAAAGCCGGCTGTGTATCTGCACTTTGACGGTTTCCTGGCTGTTTAAGATGTCCACCATCTCTGACAAAGTGTCTACGTCTTTCTCCAAGTCGTCCTCAGGACTCCTGGGGCTTGCCTTGTTACACGGAGCTTTTTCTTTCACCATTCCGGGGCTGGCGTTGTTCTCATCCTCCTGGATTAACATGGCTGTCTCCGCGTGGTCCTCCATCAGACCGCGGGAGCCTGTCTCGTTCTCGGCTTTGTCACTGCTCCCACATGACTCACATGACTGGAAGTCCATCTCTGACGGGCTCTTCTCCTCGCCTGTCCCAGGAGAGGCCCCGTCCTCAGTTTCCATGACTTGTTCTTTGAGCTCCTCATGAAGCAGGTCCATTAAACATCGGAGGAATTCCTGGGCATCCTGGACAGAGATAGAAAGACACAGGGAGAAAGACAGCCTGGTGGAGAGAGTGCAGCATCAGGTTTCGAGGGATTGGACTTTTCCACTTCCTACCTGTAAGTCACTTTAAGCTACCTGCCTCAGTTTCTTCATCTGTAAAATGGGGATCATACCCCTAGCAGTTTCCCCACCCCAGAATGTTGCGAGGACCCATTGAACAGACTTCACAGCTCTGTAGAAATGCCCAGCAGCAGCAGCTTCTGTGGGCCCTGCTCTAAAATCTCTGACCCTGTGCCACAATCTTTAAGTACTAAAGCCAAATGCAGACTCCCACAAAGCCCCTTTCTTGTTCCTCATGATGGCCTGGGGGGGGGGGGGAACTGGGGCTCCTGATGGCTAATTCAGCTCTGGTTGCCCTGGAGTACAGAGTGCTCCTGGGGCCAGCCTCACTTAGCAGTGCCTGATGTAACATCCCTGTCCAAGGAATGGCTGTACTCCAACCATACTGATACAGTGCCTGGCACACAGTAGGTGCTTAATAAACGTTGACTGACTGAGACCACTACTTCTGCAATAAATAAAACCAGAATTTCAAACACTGGAGACAAAGTAGATGCTCCTCAGTGCATCTGGAAGATCTCTGAACACACATGGATGTGTACAGGTTATCTCGTGTATTTCTGCCCTATTTTCCCAAAGGGAGAAGAGGTCATTTCTGGAATGATAGAGGAAGATGGGATCGTACACCTTTTCTTGCCTGGAAAACTGACAGGTTGAAAAATGTCTTGATTAGTCAAGAAAACTCCCCCTTGGCTTGGCTCCATGCCCACCCGAGAGGTCTCACAAGCCCTCCAGGCTTCTACTGCCCTGTCTTCTGACACTTACTGACTTGGGGAAAAACATCAAGCTGCCTACTAAGTGCCTGTCCACTTGGTCTTGAAGCCTCGGGTTGTTTCTGCTTTAGGACCACTTTGTATACATAATGCCCTGGATTGAAACCTCAGTAAACCCAAAGAACTGTCTCAGGGACCTTGAAAACCAAAGGACAAACTGCAGAGACTCACTGTTCACACTCTTTTCCCATGAGAATACTGCCAACTATGCTGTTCTATGAGGAAGTCAGCCTAAGCTTCTCCTATCACCAGATAAAATTCAGCGACAACGGACTTACCTGTTGGGAGTAACCTCGAAATGCCGGGTTGACAGTTTTAATTCCTTGAAACAAATTAGTCGGAACAACAGACCCAGGCCTGGGGAGGGAAGGAAGACATTCAGAAGTGGGAACATGGTGAAGACTGCCAGTTTACATCTTAGTAATGTGTAAAACGGAGAGGTGAAGAAAAATGGGCGCGTATTTACAAGAGCTCCAGGGACACTGACCCTCATTCTCTCTTTGTCTTCTTAAGACTGAGAAGGCTGCTGGGTTGGTCTTGGATGAAGCAAGGAAATCTCTTCTTACATAAAACAGGAGGTCTGGGACAACCCTCCTTTAAAAGTCCTTCAAAAGGACTTTAGCCTGGGCCAAGCTCTGACCCCTCACACACTAGACCTCCCTAGACACAGACACAGAAGTGCACCCGGGCACCCAACAACCAAGACATCTGTCCTATGCTGGGGTCCCCTAGGACTCACTGTCTCCATGCTAAAAACCACAGAACCCCGCCACAAACACCACAAAGAATGTTAATTTTTTTTTTTTTAGGCAATTGGGGTTAAGTGACTTGCCCAAAGTCACACAGCTAGTAAGCGTCAAGTGTTTGGTCTGAGGCCAGATTTGAACTCAGGTCCTCCTGAATTCAGGGCCAGTGCTCTATCCACTGCTCCACCTAGCTGCCCCAGAGAATGTTAATTTGTGGTTTTCTGAGTCACTGGCCGTAGGGCAAGGAAGGACAGTCTTGCTCCCTGAGCCTACTGGAGAAAAAAAATAAGAACACATACTTTTGAATAGTAAGATATGAATGGAACCCTATTTCCTACCCGCGACTGAAATGTGTCAAAGGGCCGAAAGGGATGGCCTTTGCTGCCCTGCTTCACAGCGGGCCCTCTGCGGCCCTATGGTTGATGCACACAACCCAAGGACTGGCGGCCAGCGCTCTGCCATCTCAGGGCAGTGTCCCTCTATCACATCCCGGATCCTGCAGGCGTTAAGCTTTAAGCTCTGCCCATGACGGGTTCCAGCAGGAAGCAGGTTTCCTTTGGCAAAGACCTTAGAATTGGCTTTCTCTAGCAGAAGATCTTCTACCCTGGGAGTCGGGCAGTCTGAGGCCTGCTCAGGCCAACGGGAGAGAGAGCTCTTGGACATATTCCCTTTTGAAATCACTGCAGACCTGGTGTCTGGGGTGTTCTCTATTTTCATCGCAGGGGAATCAATTTTTTCTTAAACATACTATCAATTTTCATTTTTTATAAGATTTAGAGTTCCAAATTCTTCTCCCTTCTCTTCCCCAAAACAGCATGCAATCTGATATAGGTAATACATGTGCAATCATGTTAAACATATTTCCACATTAGTCATGTTGTGAAAGAAGAATCAGAATAAAAGGGAAAAACCACAGGAAAGAAAAAAAAGAGAGAGAAAATAGTATGCTTCAATCTGCATTCAAACTCCACAGTTCTTTCTCTGGATGTGGACAGTATTTTCCATCATGAGTCGTTTGGAGTTGTCTTAGACCCTTGCATTGCTGAGAAGAGCTAAGTCAATGATAGTTGATCATTGCACTACTGTGTACAAGGTTCTCCAGTTTCTGCTCACTTCACTCAGCATCAGTTCATGTAAGCCTTTCCAGGTTTTTCTAAAATCTGCCTGCTCATCATTTCTTACAGAACAATAGTATTCCATTACATTCAAATACCACAACTTGTTCAGCTATTGCCCAATTGATGGGCATCCTCTCAATTTCTAACTCTTTGCCACTACAAAAAGAGGTGCTAAAAATATTTTTGCACATGTGGGTCCTTTTCCCATTTTTATGATCTCTTTGAGATACAGCCCTAGAAGTGCTATTGCTGGGTCAAAAGGTATGCATGGTTTTATAACTCTTTGGGCATAGTTCCAAATTGATCTCCAGAATGGGTGGGTCAGGAGCCAAGATGGCAGAGTAAAATCAGTGACTTGCTTGAGCTGTCCCCCAAACCCCTCCAAATACCTGTAAAAAAATGACCAAATAAATTCTAGACAGCAGAACCCACAAAAAGACACAGTGAAATAAATTTCCAGCCCAAGACAACCTGGATGGTTGATTAGAAAGGTCTATTGCACCGGGCTGGAAGAGGAGCGCAGTTCAGCTTGGGCATGTAGACAAAGACCAGGCCTCAGCGAACCTGGAGCAGGCCTCAGGGGACTGAATCATGGGCACCTGCAGCAGTTTCCAGACTTCTCAACACACAAATGCCAAAGATAGCTTAGAAGGTCAGTAGGAAAGGCCTACGACTGGGGTGAGAGAGAAGGTCGTTCCCAGCCCCAGTCCCGACACAGCCCTCGGGCGACAGCTGCTTCCTGGAGCTCTCGGCCCACAGATGGTGGAGGGATCAAGCAGCTGACCAGAAGAGGATTACAGGGACCTCTTTGCTAGAGCTGAGGCAGGATTCTCTTGCTTTACCCATGCTTGGATCTGGGTCACAACTCTGGGTGGCGGTCCTGGGGTGAGGAGGAGCGCTGGCGTGGTGGAGCTTGTAGTGGCAGTGGAGAGGGACTCCTCCTCACAGTTCAAAGGCAGAAAAGAGTGCTTGTGGTCACTCACAGACTAGAGCACAGGCCAGGAAAAGAGTTAACACCTCGCCCTTGATGCTACCACCTTGGAAGAATGGAAAATTTACAAGTCCCTAGAAGTATCTCTGAAAGCAGCTGCACAAAACTCCCAAAGCTTGGGACAGTACATTCTCCACACTGGAAGCAGACCCCTACCTTAACAAAGAGTTTAAAACTCAAGTAATTGGCTAGAAATGTGAGAAAACAGCACAAAAATAGTCAGACCATAGAATCTTTCTTTGGTGACAAAAAAGATCAAAACACATCCAGAATGGCTGGGTCAGTTCACCACTCCACCCACAATGCATTAGTGTCCCAATTTTCCCACATCTTCTCCAACACAGAAGCATCATTTTTGATGAGTTAGGAGCTTCCCCTAAGGGCGTGTGTGCTTGACAAAATTCTAGCTCCTCCCAGGTGTGCATGTTTGAACCTTGGGGCCCATGGTCCAACTGTTCTGATTCCATATTCTCTCCCCTGAGCAAGATCTCGCCGTCATTATTTCTGGCTTCAATGCCAGGATGGTCTATCAGCCAAGGCCACAGACTGAAGGGGACTGACCCTCAACAGCTCTGTGGTGGACACCAAATTTATTATGTCTTTCTCTATGCTATTCACTCAACAAAAAGGGCTCCTTGGCCCCCAGACGACCCCCTCTTCTGTCCCTCACAAGCCATGAGGCAGGCAAAACTCAAATGGGCCCTCAGTCTATAAGTCCCCATTATGTTTCTGAATCCATGGGGAAAGGAATGAAGAACAACAGAACTGGGGAAGCAGAGGTCTGTGCCTTTTAAAGAAAGCTCTCCTGCGTGTTAGCCAAGACCTAAGACAGCACGCTCTAACGAAGGTCAGGCCGTCGGTTCTTCAAGCAGGAGTGCAGGCCTGAGCCTCAGGTCCGTCTGCCCAGAGGGGGCAGAGAAGGGAGAGTGGGTGAGAAACAGAGTAACACAACTCATTCAACAGCCCGGCCCACTCCCCGAGGCCTTCTCCAAGAGTGCCCACCTGTCTCAAACACTATCCTGAGAATAAAACGTGCAGGCCGCCATGCAACAAAACCAGGGCCCTCCACATGGTATACAACATCTTTGTGCTTAAAACATTGGGGACTCAATCAATTTTTCTTTATGAGAAATGTGTCTTATGTGCATTTGCTCTCATGAGAATTGAGGGCATGGGTACGGAGGCTGGAAGAGCTTGGGAACTCCTCCTTTGAAGACCTCAGCTTTCCATGAGCAAGGGAGCCTCTCCCCAGCTAATCTGCGATCCAGCCGTCCCTCTCGTCCCTGGCTTTCTGTAAGTCCTGCAGAAGATGGGCCATCTCTGGTCCCTAATATCTGTCAATGGAACGAGGTCTATCTGCTCCCCCTCCCCCATCTGACTTCACCAGCTTTCCAGGCCCACACAGCCTTGATGGTCAAGGTTAACAGCACAGCAGGGCCTGATCCCCAACACCACATCATTTCTCTGCCTCTTGGGTCAAGCAAGATGGGAATCCTCGCACCTGTTCCATGACTGACAGCCATGTGGGCCGTCAGGAGACCACGGATGGCTGTCTGGCAGCCTTGAGCCCTACAGTCCCCTGCTGGGACCCAGCCTGCTTGCCTCCAATTTGATTCACACACCGATGGCCTTGCTCATCGTGAGGCACTCCGAGCTCATTCTCTTGGGAACGACCGTGGATAACTGGCGTGAAGTTCCCTATAAACAGAAACATCTGGAGAAAGGCTGTCCTAGAAAACTCCCCTCCTGGTGCTACCCTCTGATGACACGCCCTCAGGTCACACGGGCTCTCCCAGCCCAATCCAAGCTCAGGCATTTGTGCACGGTCCTTCGGCCATCTGCACCTTGCACCAAGCACACGAGACCACACCGCCACATAGCTGGCCACTACCTGGAGGGTTCGTTGGAAGTCGCTAACCCCAACTGAGGCCTAGCCAGGGGCATGCGCTCACCCCTGGTCCCGCTATAAGGGGGTGCAAGGCTTCTCCGCGATTGGCAGACAATTTAACTGCTGACTCTGCTGTAGGCGAGTCACGCATAGAGCCAAGGCAGAAGTCGTGCCTGGGTGGAACAGAGGAATCCCCCGTGCTTTCAGCCCACTTACTGAATGCTACCATACTGCATCTCAGGGAAACCACAGAACTGGAGGGAGAAAGGGCAAAGGCTTCCAACTTTACAAAGGGGGAAACTGAGGCCAGAGAGGTGAGCAACCTGCTCCAACCAAATTTGCGCTCCCACTGCCTCACATACAGGGGCCCAGTGTGAGCCATGGCCAACAGTGACTGCCCCAGAAGCCTCCAGGAGCCACTGCCCGTGAGCACACACGTGCCCTGGAAGAACTCTGCGCCACTGCCATGGTCCTCTGTGAAGCCTGACCAACGGGCCCGGGGCAGCGCCCTGCTGCCAGAGAGGAGACACCTCCTGGGAGCAGGGCCAGATCCCTCCAAATGACGATGCAGACCCAGGGAGTCAGCGACCAGCAGAGGGAGGCAAAGTGTTTGTGCTGCAAGCCAGCCTCCCTTCGGCGGCCAAGCGCACTGCTGCCTCACTCTGTGACAGCCGGAGGAGGACGGGAGGCCCACGGAGACTCGGCCGGAGCCCACGCTCCAGGCAGCCAGAGGGTGGTCTCCGTGGCCTAGACAGAGGCAGCCGTTAGGAGACGTACAGCTTGAGTTCAAGCGGCAGAGAAATCAGATGTGGGAAACCCCATGCTTGGTGCAGATACCCACCCCCAACTGCCCCAGACATTCACACTGACGAAGAAAGTGGGTTACCCCCCCCCAAAGGTCACACTGACCACAAGTGTGGATTATACCCCCAAAGGTCACACTGACCATGAGAGTGGGTTACCCCCCCAAAGGTCACATTGACCACGAGGGCAGGTTACCCCCCCAAAGGTCACACTGACCACGAGTGCGGGTTACCCCCCAAAGGTCACACTGACCACGAGTGCGGGTTACCCCCCCAAAGGTCACACTGACCACGAGTGTGGGTTACCCCCCCAAAGGTCACACTGACCACGAGTGTGGGCTACTCTCCGCCCCAGACAGTCACACTGACCACGAGACTGGTCATGACCTCCCAGGGTTACGGACACAACCTGACCGCAAACTTGCCTCAAAGGCCATCCTTGCACACTTAAGCTAACCCAGGAGATGCAGCAGCCAAGCACGTACCTGCTCTTGTGCCAAAGCTCCGTCATCAGCTTGAGATAGCTTTTACAGATGGCTGGCTTCTTCTCCGTCCGGGCTAGTCCTCCGCAATCAAGAAAGAACTGGGTCAAAGGTGGGCTAATTTAAAAGAAAGCAGAGTTGAGAGAACAGAACAAGAAGCAGATCCTGGCCTCTCTGCCTGCTTGACCAAGAGGCCCTGCAGGCTCCTCACTCTCCAGCACTACCTCCATGTCCAGCCAGTTGGCTGCCAGCACCTGGTGAGCATGGGGCTGCCTTCCACCTCTTTCTGGGTCTCCAGCACTTAGTGCAGTGCTTGGCACACAGTAGGTGCTCCTGTCTGAGTACAAGCCGATGCCCAAGGCGCTGCTGCCCCCTAAACCAGGGGACTCCAGACTTTTAAAGTCAAGCCCCCCATGATGCTGCAGGCAATGTGCAGATACTCACAGATTACATACAGGTGCTAGCAATCCACAAGCATTTATGAAGCACCTACTGAGTGCCAGGCCCTAAGGGCACAAAAACCCAAGCAATGAAAGCGTCTCTGATGATTATCTAATGCTATAAAACTGACAGACTTAAAAACTGAAGTAAAAAAGGAGCTGAGATAAAGCTGAAATCCCATTTGACCCTGCAGCCAAAAGCAGCCAGAGTTTATTGGACAGACCTTGACAGCCGTGTAGACATGAGATGGGGGAGACTGAAGGGAGCCCATCGCTATGCGGGCCTGAACCCGGGCCACGAGACCGGAGAAAAGGGGTCACATGTGAGGGACGCTGTGGGGGCAGTGAATTGCAAGAGCGCGGGCTGGTTTCACACCTGGGTGCCCGAAGGAACAGTGGGTCTAGGGGAGAAGGTAATGAGATCGATAATGCAGGCTCCTTTGTGCCTCCCCATACTACACGAAGGACTCAGTCTCACAGAAAAGAACAGGGGGTACAGGGGGTGCAGGGGGTGGGCTCTTACCTACCACAGAGCAAGACAGAGTGTAAGTGTGTGTGAGTGAGTGTGAGTGGGTATGTGAGTGTATGTGTATGTGTGTGTGCGTATGTGTGAATGCAAGTGAATGTGTGAGTGTGTGTGTAAGTGAATGCAAGTGAATGTGTGTGTGAATGCAAGGGAATATGTGTGTGAGTGTGTGCAAATGCAAGTGAATGTGTGTGTGTGAATGCAAGTGAATGTGTGTGAGTGGGT